CGTAGAAGGACATGAAGGAGAAAAATTTCTCCATCATGCTCTGGTCGAAGTCAGAACGATGGTTCGTGGGGGTCTCCGTTGACGTTCCCCTTGGTCTTGCTGCCGTGCCTTCCTCTGTCTGCAGGCCAGAGGCTGGCGGTGGAGTAGGAGTAGTGCCCGAGGAGCCATTAGGGGAGCTCCTTTCCTTGTTTGTTGCCATGTCTTGTAATGATCAAAAAGTTAGAGTTTTCCCCTGTCAGCTCTCATACCATGTTGGGCTGGAAAAATTAGCCCTTAGGATCTTTGCAGAGGAGAACTCTTGGGTAGAAACTTGTAATAGCGGAAGCGTTTAATGAGGATTGTGAACCGACCTTGCACTGGTGTGTGAGAGCAAAGTAGATTGAATTAAACAAGCAAATACAAGGATTTATATAAGAGTACAGGGAATACGAATAGATAGGTAGATAACTGTATTGCTGTTGCGGTTCGATACAGTGCGACTCGGGCAACTGCTCTGTAACGAGTCAGTTGTGTGTCCTTAACTGTCGCGCTGTGATTGTCGAGTCAAAGGTCAGCGACCTTTGACTTTCTCGTAACCTCCAGGCGGTTACCCTAACCTCCGAGGTTGACTCGATGCTTCGATTGGGACTGCTTCGCTTGGTGCCTTGGGTTTTGATACGACAGAAGCGCACTTAGGACTTATTGTTTCCAACAACTTGCTCACCTCTTGACCTTGCTTGTACTGTTACATATATATATATATATATATATATATATATATATATCTGCTCTTGCTTGTCTAGCCTTATATATATATGTACTCCTGCATGTGAACTGGCCTTGTACTTGTGCTCGGAATGTGTGGTGACTTTGTGATCCACCCTGAGCTTTGTTTTGTTTTGCTTTGCTTGACTGGTCTTGTGACCCCCTGTTCTCCCCCATTTTGCCTACGGGTGTGTGTCAGAATATTATAGCTTATGATTTTGTGTAGGCTGTAGTGGGGTATCCCATAGGGGGTACAACCCAATTAGGGTTAGTACTTGTACCCACTTCATTCAGAGTTCATTCATTATCGTTTCAGTTTTCTCAATCAGAAAAGTGATTCTTCCGTTTTCAAAGAATCACCTTCTTCCGTCTCACTAGGGCGGAACCTTTCCGCGAAGGGGGAGAGAATAAGGACAGAAGACGGCGCGGAAGCAATGTTTGGAGGTGTTCGCGTCGCTGCTGCTAAACACATGCGTTTCGATTTTCGGAAAGTTTACCCCACAGCCCGTACTGTTTGGCCCTCGATAATGCAATTAGAAGCTTAGAAACATTTTTCTGCCGCCCTTCTTCCGTGGCTGCCGAACTGAGCCTAGAAATTTGTCCAATACGAATTCGCCTTACACTGAGAAATTTGTGATCGGGTCGAATCTGACTAGAGGTTGGCCTGATAGGGGCCCCGTAGGAACACGCTCTAAGGCATTAAATCTCGTTTTCATTCGGCGACATGCTTGTGGCTATGTACACACCCTAATACATTATGACAAAGAAAGGTACTGATAAATGTACTAGCTTCCAGTTGCCACAGCACATTTGTCCGTGGGAACAGAAGCAAATACAAAAAAAAGGCTAAGGTACCGTACGTAAAGCCTGCTGTGACAAGATGACATGCTGCATTTAGAGCGACACAGTCTTGCGAAGGGGAGCGAGCTCAGCGTTCTCTTCGCATTGAGGTGTCCGCGTCGTCGTCGTTACACGCTTAGGTGTGCCGTTGCGCGTTCCAAGGATCTCTTGACGATGGACAGACATTCCGCAGGCACTGGAGATTGAAGCCTCTTCATCTTCATCGAACGCTGCCAGGCGAGATCGACGCACGGAACCGTGTCGGCAACCTAAAACGCGTGCGCGTGTCAGTTTAATGTCATCAGGTGAGTGCGCGCCGGAACGACGATCCAAGTCGTCGACGTACACAGCAACAGCTCCATGCATAGCCGGTGTGAGTCTCGAAGCTGACGTGGCCAAAGTAGAGGCCATCCCGCATGTGTCGGCGATAGGCGAACGAGGCATGCAGGCGCGAACGAAAGCCAGAGAGGCAGAAGATTCCATAATGGATTCTAGGGTTTGACAATGAAGCTTAACCTCAGCTTGCGAGGGGTTCGCTTAAACGGCAACGTGTAGATACGTGCTTTTTACTAGGGTCAAATGAGAAAGTAGCTGGAGTGGTTCACTCAAATTGAGGGTAGGAATAATTTGTACGGAGAGGGCAAGTGCTGCAGATACGAGATAAAGTGCGATGGTAGCGAACCTTTTATGCGCTTTGGAGCAGTGATGGGTGTTTGACGGATCAGTGGCAGAAAATCACGAGACGAGGGGAGGAGGGCGGAACCAGGCAAGGCGGAGAACAGAGCGGAAGGGAGGCGGGGTGCAGCGTTGAAGCATGGGCGGAGCCTCAATTGAAGCGCACACGAAAGGCTGGCGGGCAGAACATGCTTTGGTTGGCTGCGCGGAACGAGTATGGCGGACCAGGCTCCAGGTGCCAGTGTTGTCTGTGGGGGAAGGGATTCGAGTTTGATTTTGTGGGAATCATTTCCACTGGGAGCACGAGGCCCCACCTGAGGTGGTTTGGGTTATCATGTGGGTAGAAATATCCACTCTTCCCGCCCAAGCTGCACTGACCATGAATTTGGAGGGTCAACAACACGCAGAATCAACTGGTGTTGAAAAATGCTGTAGGCTAAAATCAAATCCTTTTGCTTCGATATAGCCTCGGGGGCGTTTCCGCAGCATCTATAACACACTGTAGACATCGTTGACCTGGAACCTGACACGATCCTCCTTACCCCTCCAGCGGATTCGATTACACTGACTGTTTCCAGGGGTGGCAGGAGAGGGTGTGATGTAACGCACGTGAGATGCACCGACTGAACAGCTCGTACATTCTTCGTTGAAACCCACGTGACGTTGTCATCAGGGCACAAATGATGATTGAAGTGGTGTGTGGTTGGCCCCGAATCTCATCACCCTAGTCTCTCCCCAGAGAACGCAACCATTTTGTGGAGGGGAAGAAAGGCAGGGGCGGCGGAAATGATTGAAGATGGGTGGAAAGTGTGCCCATGTGTTTGTGTGTGTGTGTGTGTGTGTGTGTGTGTGGGTGTGTGTGTGTGTGTGTGTTGTGTGTGTGTGTGTGTGTGTGCGTGTGAGTTTACGCGTTGAACAAAGATTGAAGAGGGTTGTGTATGCGCCTGTGCGGTGGTGAGGGGCGGGGAGGGAAAACGGTGAGAAACCATTCCTGGAATCCTTAACCAGAATACTCGCTACTGTTCCTTCAATATTGTGATGCCATTTCTTGCAGAACTGAGTGTATGCTATGTAAGTTGGAAAATCTTATCCACACATGCTTATAATGCTATCCATCGACTCTGAACATGTAAGTCTGATCAGGGAGATAAAAGTTTTGTCGATTAACGTATCTGAACATGTAAGTCTGAACGTTCTATATATGTAGAGAATAACAAATGCAGTTTTAATCAACATCAATTCAGCCTTTAAAGCGATAACGTTGGAACAAGCTGACTTCGCTGCTCTGAATCTGGAGATTTGGAGTATGAAACTTCACTACGGCCGCCTTAGTCCTCTTTTTGCCTCCGCAAAGGCGTCCCATTCCTAGGACCTGGAGTCGCCTCGTACTATGCTGATGACAGTTGACAGCAACATTCAAGCTCTCGGGCTTGCATGTTCCAGATAAGGACACGTCCGATGTCCATGCCGCGTCCATCGCTTCATCATCATCGTGACGATGCGCGTCGTCTTGAGCGAAACAGGTAACCCGAAACCGTCGTGGGGAGCCAAATCTGCAGCCAAGAACGCTCGCGCGAGTCTCTTCAATGTTCGCGCCCGCAGCGCCAGAAATGTTCTCAAAGCGCTCCAAATAGACGTCGACTTTGCCGCCCACGACGATATAGTCGGTACATCCACTGTCGACGTAGGTCACACCACTGCCTAAAGTCGGTTGCTCCATTGTTCGTGCGAGTACAGCAGCTGTGGCGTGACTAGTAGTCTTGCGATCGTTTACGGGAAGGGACATTTTTTTTTTTTTTTAACGCGTTACGACCTCGCGGAGTGAAGCTGAAACTCGTGGATTTAAGGCGAGAGCTGCTAAAAAGATTCGACAAAAATGTGATGCTTTGGGAGCGTCGGATCCTTCGCTCGCATTTGAAGAGCCGTCATTATCGCCATGCGCTCCTAAAACTCTCTGGAGTTTCGACTGTGCTCTAGAAGCTGTGTGGCTCACCTCCTAAACTCCACGTCGCGAGTTCTCATAGCTGGAGATGCTTGCTCATGCATGGATATTGGAGAAATGTCGGGTAGGGTAGTTGGTAGGAAGGACGAGTTGGATTCTCAGGAGTAAAACCAAATCTTGCTTCAGGTGGATGTCCTTGAATGACTGGGAAATGTGCGGTCCGAAGTGCTCAATTGTGCGCTTCGACATGCTCATCACCACCGCGTCCGCCGACAGGCAGAACCGTGTGCGCTGTTTTAGGGATCATGCGTACGTGACCGGGAGCGTGACACCTGGATATCTAGGCAATTGATGTGCTGGACATTGACTCCACGTACGTGTCCTTTCATTCTAGTATCAGCCGCAGTGAGATTGGATTGACCTAGATAGTTCTGTAGCCCCTGCACAATCAAATAGCAAACAGCAAAATCTGTTTTCTCTGTAGTTCACAACAGTTTTTACATTCTTAGTGCACGCAGCTGATTGGGAACATAGCACAAGGCATGTTATTATAATACTTGACATCAATACAATTTATTACATAAATGTCTGTCAGAACTTCACCTTCTCTTTCAAAAATAGGATCCCTTCTTGCTGCACAGACATCAATACGTAAGGTGGAACATGGAAATTAAAAAAAAAAAATGACTTTTAAGAAGCTACTTAGAGAGAATAGCATACCAAACTGGGCGAGCATTCAGATATTTAAATTATATGATATCCAGGTCATGAAAATGAGCATATGCAATGTGCAACTCACCACAAGGAAAAGCCAGAGGCAGCCCACAAGGCCTGGGAAGAGCGGGTACCACCATTTGAGGCGATGAAACTTGGGGGCGTCGAGGAAAATAAGTGGGAGGCCGGCAGCTGGGTGTGTGCGAGGGAGGATAAGGGGGACGGTGGGGTGTAAGGGATGGGGAGTGAGGATAAGGGGATATAAGGGAGGGTGTGGGGGAGGGACAGGGAGGGTTGGCTGCAAGATACCAAAACAGCGGGTACTGCTGCACGAGCGGCATATCTCTGTCACTGAGGTGTAGATGGGTTATTGAGGTGAATATGGGTTACTGAGCGTGCTTATAGCGAAACCGGGTGGGGGTGGTGGATGGAGTTGGTGCAGTGCACGAACGTGATAGAGGCACAATGCAGCAACTGCTGTAGCTTAAGCAAGCCAATATAACGAGTACAAAAGCATGCTTATGACGAGTACAGAGGCGTGCTTTCAACGCACCAGGGGGGTGGACGGAGTTGGTGCATTGCATGACCGCAATAGAAGCAGCAACAGCTGTGGCCTTAGCGAGCCAACCCAACACATACCAAACACACCATAACGAGTAATCAAGCAATCTTATAATAAGTACTGAGGCATGCTTATAACGAGCACTGATGCGTGCTTATAACGCACCAGGGGGGTGGACGGAGTTGGTGCATTGCATGAACGCGATAGAAGCAGCAACTGCTGTGGCCTTAGCGAGCCATGACGGCCCCAGCAGGCAGAAGAGCGCCACTCCTATGAGGGCTGTTCCCACGTGGGCTATCAAGATGGTCTTGCGCTGTGGTTTTGGTTGGGGAGAGAGGGGAGCAAGAAAGTAGGGAGGGAGGAGAGTAGAGGGCGAGGGAGTGAAGGAGAAGGGCGAAGGAAAGCAACAGCCGCCTTGGCGAGCCATGACGGCCCCAGCAGGCAGAAGAGCGCCACTCCTATGAGTGCCGTTCCTACATGGGCAACGAGGATGGTCTTGCACTGTTAAGGGTGGGGGAGGGGGACGCACTAAGAAAGGCGTGGGTTGGAAAGGAATTGAGGAGAAGGGTGACGGACTCAGCAGGCAGAAGAGGGCCACTCGTATGAGCGCCGTTCCCACAAGGCAGCTGCTTGTGGTGGCAGGGCGAAGAGGAGACAGCAGACATAGTGAAAACACCCGAAGAAAGTCACCTGAAGGCTGAGTATTCACCTGGGAGACGGCTGCTTGCGGCAGGGCGAAGAGGAGACAGCAGACGGCACCAAAGGATCCCAGGGAGACTGTGAGGCCGTGTGACTGTAACAGATGGTCCGCTAACGCGAATCCTGCAAAGGACACGAATGCGCCTGACAGCAGGAGACAGAGGGAAGGAAACAGCGGCGAAGGAACCGAGGGAGACTGTGAGGCCGTGTGACTGTAACAGGTGGTCTGCTAACGCGAACCCCACGAAAGACACCAATGCGCCGAATGGTGAGTAGGAACGAGGAGACAGGAAGGGGGAAGGAAGGAGGAAGAAGGGGGGTAAGAAAGGGGGAGAAGGAATAAGAGGGGGATTCGATGAGATGTAATGAAATTAGATGAAAAGGGAAGCAAGGGGGAAGACGAGGAGGAAAAGAAACGCAGCAACAGGGAAGACGGAGGCTCTTGGAGCGTCCTAAGAATCGCGAAGGCGAGCCTCGCCACGGAAACGAAGGGGTCCAGAGGTATGAGACGGGCGAGGGAGGAGTGGGGTGCGGTGCAGTGAGATGGGAAGGAATTTCGGAAGAGAGAAGGAAGAAGCAGGGAGGGACGGGGGATGGGATGGGCCGGGATGGGTGGGAAAGGGGTGGGATGGGAGGGGGCGTAATGGAATGGAGGTGGCACGGAGTGGTGGACTAACCACCCAACCCAACGCAACCCAACCCAACCCCAACCCAACCCATCCCTCCCCAAACCCGCCCCAACCCACCGCAACCCAACCCACCCCACCCCATTCCCAATCCCCAATCCCGGTGGACAGACACCAGCGCAGCCCCACTCACCGACGGCGGGCCACACAAGGTCGCTGATTGGCTGCTTCTTCTCCGCTTCTGGCGGCGCCGGTTGCGGAATGGCCGCGGCGAACTGGCGGAGCGCGCGCACGCAGGCAGAGGGCAGGAGGGCGGCGATGCGGAAAGGAGTGGGGCGGGTGGGTGGGAAAGAGGGGGGGAGGGGGGAATGGTGGGGAAAAGAAGCCGCGCGACGGAGGGGGAGAAGTGGGGAGGGGGGAAACGGGAGAGCGGGGAAGAGATTGTAGGAAGATGAGGAGAGGGCGAGGGAGGGGAACGTAAAGTTAGGGAGATGCGAAGAAGTGAGAATGCTTATCAAGAACCATAAGAAACGGAAACCTCACCAGCAAGGGGCGCGTGGACAGGGTAAACTCCAGAAACAGTACCAATTCATGGGAGTATACGAGTCAACTGCCCCTGGATAGGCGACGCAGCAGACAGAAACGCACCTCGGAAAAATCGGCCGCTCCCGCAGCGCCAGCGCCGGCGGCGGCGGCGGCGGCGGCGGTGGGACCTTGAGCCCGCACGCGTGCCGCGCCGCGCTTAGCGAACGAATGTCTGGTGTCGCTCAAAGCGATTCGGCGGGAAGACTCGACGTGAATATTGCGAGAGCTGCGAGCTTGTGCCGAGAGGCAATCTTGTGTCGAAGAATAAGTATGCCTTTTAGAAACCGAAGCGCGGGCAGGGACAACGTTATGACATTCTTGAAGAGAAATTAAGGAGCGAGGTGGTTGTAATGATGCGGGAGCTGGAGCTACTGGTGCTGTCATAGTTCTTGTCGCAGGAGCCAATTGCATCGGTCGGAGATGAACGCCGCATGCCATGATGGCTACGAGTCTCGATGGAAGAAACTTCTTGTTCAACGCGAGCGGTTCGGTTATGTTTAGTTGAAGGCTTTAGAATCGGTTCGTATCGGCGGCACGAGACTGCAAGGAGAGGAAGGAAGAGACGGATGCTACCGAAAAAACCGACGGACGGGAAAACGCAGACAGATACAGTATTGTCGCAATGCAAACATTTGCGAATTCCGCTGACACGCTTAGCAAATGACTGAATTGTCTATCAAAGTGTTGGTCTTATTACAAAAGTCGTTCCCAGGGCCGGGTGCACAGCAGGGGAAGCTCTCTCCCTAGTGCTACGCTCTGCGTTAGTCGTCTATTTGTAAGCTCTGCACTGCATAGCAGAGTCAGGTAGCGACTCTTAGCTCCTTCAACGGATGGTTCAACTGTTGAGAGAGTGTCTCTTGGAAGTGCCGAACAGCAGCTGTGCTGGACAGAGAGCGGCTGGTGGGATGAAGAATCAAGGCGTGAATCTGACCTCAGATTGGGGGTGGTGGTGGGTGGTCGGGACTCGGGGGACGACATGGGGAGCAACCGCGAGTCCCTCCATGCAAATCGCAGGCGGGCCGATTTGCTGCCACCAAGAACTGCGACTTCTACCGACTTCCAAACCTGAGGTTCGGGGTAGCTTTGCCCCTCGGTTGTTCCGTGGCTGAGTTGACTGGTTGGGGAGGTCTTGGGCTTTCTGAGCCACAAATTTTTGGGCTTGGTTGCCCTTTGCATACGCGGTGCGGATGGGGAAACAGCAGTCACCAATCAGCTGCTGCTGTTTCACGCTTGTGGCGGCTGCTGGGTGGAGGGAAAGGTTCTGGGTACGACATGCGCGCTCATTGGTTTGAGCTCTACGAACAGCAGCGCCCAATCGAAACCATTCATGCAGTTGGCAAATTGTTATTGAAATATTCACGAAACTATGCGCATTATTCGGCAAAAGGCTCTATGTTACGTTGGCAGCCCACGTGATTGTGTAGCATACAGTTTTTCAAGAATCAATGCTACAATGCTTTCTGGTGATCTTCATACCTGCCATGGTGTCATAATTGCATACATGCAACAAAGAAAATAAAACTTCAATTAGGTAGCGAAATCATTGCAAACATTTCCTTAAATGGCTCCTGAGGCAAACATAATTGTACATCTCACCACAAGGTGACTCGGTAATAGTTAGGTGCTCATGCTTGGCATGCTGCAAAGGAAAGAAAGAAGGGGGTTTAAAGCAACAACAGAACGTACCATTCTTGGCTTCAACTTTAGTTTGGCGATGCAAACTCTTCCAAACACATGAATCTCTCGTTTGCAAACCCATATCCTCGTGCCACAGAGCTAGCAGTTGCTCGTATAGGGATCAGAAGAAGGGGGCCACGGGGATGCCCAAGCACCCCTTAGAAGAAGAAAAAAAAAAAAAAAAAAAAACACAAACAAGAACAACACGTAGGAGAGAACACTCACGTTCCTCTGCCGTGGTTGATTCTATGCCACCGCCTCGCACTCGCATTAAAGCCCGCCACTGTTGCTGCTGCCACCAGCCGCATTGGCCCCGCTAGAAGCAGCTCCAGTAAGAGCTTGTTGAGTGACACACAGGGCGACATGCCTAAAACGAGGATAGGAGGAGGAAAGCGGGGGGGGGGGTGGGGTGGTTGGCAGAACAGGGAGGGAGGTGAGGAGGAAGTGGAGGTAACCTATATTTTGCTGAGTGAAGCACAGGGAATCATGCCTATAAGGAGGATGGAGAGGAAGGGCTGGGAAAGGTACGGGCGGAGGGTACCGAGGGGGCAGGAGAACAGAAAGATTCCACAAGAGCCGCAGACAGATCACTCACCTGCAGTGGCGATGCTGAGCATCCAGCCGTCGAATCCGACAGGAGCGAGGAAATCTCCGCGTTCGACGGCTGAGATCGCAGCTCTCGCGACCGCCATGGGAGGAAAGGGCTTGTTGCCTTCTGTGATGGCTTTGGTGACTGCCGGTTTGGTTACGTTCTCTGGAGGGGGTTAGGGTTGGGAAGGTGAGGTGGGTGGGAAGTGGGGAGTAAGATGGGAATAGAAAGGGGGACCATGGGGGGTTGCAGCTCTCATCACGGTGGTGGCTGTCAAGGGAGGGAAGGGCTTGTTGCTGCCCGCCGCTGTGATGTGATGGAATTAATGTTTGACGCTGTTGAAGATAAGCCTGAGAAAGTACTCAGGGTACCCTCTGGCCTTTAGCCTCTTAAAGAAGAGTGCAAGAGAGGATTCATCACCAGTGAGCTGAAACCCCACTGTCCGCGGAACTCATCATTCAAGACCTTTTGGGAGAGAAAAGTCCTCTTCTTTAATAGGCTAAAGGCCAGAAGTTACCCTGATTACTTTCTCAGGCCTATCTTCAACAGCATCAAACATCAAGACAGGCCGATTCTGCTTCGCAGCTGCCAACAACACAAAGTGAGGGAAGTCCTCCAGTCCCTGAAGGTAAGAAGATGTCCAAGAACTTTGGACTTGGGGCTGGGGGGTTTTTGAGAATTCTCAAAAAACATACGCTGCATCATATCTTCCTCCCACAGTTTTTAGTGTGTTGGCGTTTGCCAAAGAGGTTACGCAACCGCTTGGTGAAAGCGAGATTTCAAGAACGGGGATACACCACCCCGTGAGTTGATGGGATTGAATTCATCCCACCAACCTGCACGTTGAATTGCATTGCAAATGCATTGTACAGCCAGCTAGCGAGCCGCAAGACGAGCCACACTGGACTTTTGTTTCTTGGTTGAGTGCTGGGCACGGAAGATGGGAGTAGATAAGGAGTAGTCTTTTCTTGTAAATCTGAGAGCGCTGACGAAGGCCATCGGCCGAAACGCGCGCACGCTCGGTCTTGGAATGACATTTTTCCTTGCTTATTCAATCCCTACTAGCCTAAGCTCAGCCTAGAGGAGATTAGAACGAGCTAGAGCTGTGGATCAGGGTCGAAACTATTTTTCTATGCGTCAAGGGAGGGAAGGGCTTGTTGCTGCCCGCCCGCTGTGATGTGATGGAGCTGGCGCCCTGCCTCTCACCTTGCTGCAGCTGAGGCGTGTCCGTGTCAGGAGGGAACAGCAGCATCACAACGCATGTGCCCACGTGCACCAACTCCATCTGTAGTGCCTCTGCCAGCGCCTCTACCAGACCCCTCACCTCATGACCCTCTCAAGGAAAGAGTACCTTGGTGCAGCTGAGGCGTGTCGGTGTCGGGAGGAAACAGCATCACAATGCGTGTGCCCACATGGACCAGCTCCATCTGAAGTGCCTCTGCCACTGCCTCTGCCAGTGCCCCTAGTCCACCAGTGACAGACCCTCACTCACCTTGTTGCAACTGAGGCGTGTCAGTGTCAGGAGGGAACAGCATCGCCACCCACGTCCCCACACGCACCATCTCCGCTTGCAGTGCCTCTGCCAGTGCATTCATGTCGCTCTGAAGGCAAGGGTACCTTGCTCTTGCCACTCACCTTGCTGCAGCTGGGGCGTGTCGGTGTCAGGAGGGAACAGCATCACCACCCTCGTCCCCACGTGCTCCAGCTCCATTTGTAGTGCCTCTGCCAGCCCTCTTAAAGCGAATTTCGCGGCCGAGTAGGCTGTGTAGCCATAGATACCCACCTGGCAAGGGGAACGGGAATAGGGGAACGGGGCAGGAGAACAAGGGACTTGTAAGTAACCTCACATCTCGAGATTTGGCGGCTGATTAGGCTGTGTAGCCATAGATACCCACCTGGAAAGGGGGGAGAGGAGGAACAAGGGAGTGGGGCAGGAAAACAGGGGAATTCTGAGCAGCCTTAGCACTGTAACAGGAGACGGCAAGCACTTCTCCCCGCCTACTGAGGTGACATTTGAGTCGACTCAAAAGTCACCTCAGTATAATGTCACACGATGTTTTGAGCCGACTCAAGAGTAACTTCTGAGTAGCCTCAGCATTGAAACAGGAGATGGCAAGCACTTCTCCGCGTCTACTTGAAAATCACTTGTGAGAATTCTCAAAAGTGCGCTTCTCCCTGACTACTTGAAAAATAAAATTTGGGAATTCTCAAAAGTGCAATTCTCCCCGCCTACTCATCTGCCTCGTCCCCTCTCCCCCCCTCCGCTCCCTCTTTCCTCTCTCACCTGCTCTGCTTGAAACGACACCAGCATTATCCTTCCCTCCCTGCCTGCTCTCTCCACAGCTGGCAGGGCTGCCTGGATCACATAGCCTCTCCACTTCTGCTGCTCCCCACCCCTCACACTACTCCTCCCATTACTCCCCCTCTCACCTGCCCTGCCTGAGACGACACCAGCATTATCCGCCCGTCCTTGCCGGCCCGTTTCACGGCTGGCAGCGCTGCTCGGATGACATACACTGACGCCCAGTAGTTGACATTCATGAGCTGATGTGATAAGGGGGAGGAAGAGTGGGGGAAAGTGGGGGAGGTGGGTGCGTTGAGGGAGGGGTGGGGAAGAGGCAAGGCTGCTCGGATGACATACACAGACGCCCAGTAGTTTGACGCTCATGAGCTGATGGGGTGAGGGGGGAGAAGGTGGGGTGTTGTGCGTTGAAGAGGGAGGGTATTATGAGACAGAACACAAGGTGAAGGGGGGTGCACTGGGAGGGAAGCAGAGAAGAACACACGAACAGTGCCAATGGGGAGATGGGCTACTGACGCAAATTGATGCGGAAATCGAATCACATAGACTGACGCCCATTAGTTCACGTTCCTCACGCGCGCACCTGCTGCTGATTTTCCACGGTATTGAACTCGAATTGGTGTGGGGTGCTCTGCCCCTGGCAGCAGACGATCAATCACCACACATGCACCGCTGCTTCCTTCACACTCACACCTGATGCTGCTGCTGGTTCTCCCTACAAGCTCACCTGCTGCTTCCGCTGCTCACACACACACGCACCTGCTGCTGATTTTCCACGGTATCAAACTCGAATTGATGTGGGGTGCTCTGCCCCTGGCAGCAGATCACCACATCCAGCCGTCCAAACGCGGCCACCACTTGATCAATGGCTCTCCTTGCATCGTCCAGATTCGCCGCATCGGCCGCCACGGACAGGAGGAAATCAGACGAGGGGGTGTCGGGTAGAAGCAAAGCCTCTAGCTGAGAGAGATGAGGCATGAATGGGAGAGAAAATGAGGACGAAGAGAAGTTATAAAATTACTCAAAAGTCGCCGCATCGACTGCCACGGACAGGAGGAAATCGGAGGAGGGTGTGTTGCGGGTGGAAGCAAGGCTTCCAGCTGGTGGGTTTTGGGAGCCACACCAAAGGAGGGAAATCATATGGACCCCACCCCGCTGGGGTTTTCCTCCAGAGGAAATCGGAGGAGGGTGTGTTGGGGGTGGAAGCAAGGCTTCCAGCTGGTGGGTTTTGGGAGCCACACCCAAGGAGGGAAATCACATGGACCCCACCCCGCTGGGGTTTTCCTCCAGAGGAAATCGGAGGAGGGTGTGTCAGGTGGAAGCAAGGCTTCCAGCTGGGAGGGAAGCAGCATGAACGGGAGAGGGAAAGGGGGAAATGGAGAAATCAAGAGAGGAGAGGAGGACGGAACGGTATAGACGAAAGTTCTGGGTGAGTTTTGAGTCGACTCAAGAGAGAGGAGAGGAGGATGGAAAGGTATAGACGAAGGTAGCTGACGCCAGCTACTTCCATCCTCCTCTCCTCTCTGATGAAGGTAGCTGACGCCAGCTACTTCCATCCTCCTCTCCTCTCTGACGAAGGTAGCTGACGCCAGCTTCTTCCATCCTCCTCTCCTCTCTGACGAAGGTAGCTGACGCCAGCTTCTTCCATCCTCCTCTCCTCTCTGACGAAGGTAGCTGACGAAAGTAGTTCTGGGTGAGGGAGCGCCAGCTGGAAGGAAGGCGACAAGATGGTAGGGATAGGGAGGAGGAGAGTAGGTGAGTGAGAAAAGGGAGAGGACGGACTGGGAAAATGAGCCCACGTTATGATGAAAAAGAGAAGGGCTTAAAGAGTGCAGAAAGAGGGAGCGTCAGGTGGAAGCAAGGCGTCAAGCTTCCTCAAGGCATCAAGCTGGCAGGGATCGGAAGGAGGAGAGTGGGTGAGTGAGAAAGCACACCTACACACACACCCTGGCTAAAGCACACACAACAATCGCCAATCTCACCCCCTCCTGCTGCATTGCCATCAATCCCCTATGCACACACTTTCCTGATGAAAGCACCCACCTGCTTGTGAGCAGAGGCCCTGACTGAGGGCGTATCTTTGGTTCCGGTCATGAGCACTGTTCATTCTACTGTTTGGGGCATCCGCAATTAGCGCATGACCCAAAGTGGAGCGTCGAGGCGCGCGCGGTCCGAACTTCGGGTCATCCATCCCTCTGCATGCGACCGTCAGTCAAAATGTTCCCCCGACCAATCATAATGCACTGCGACCCCATGTTCAGTACCACACTGTAGACGACCGTCTAGTTTGATGCCAAGTTTGTTGGTTGGGTGGCGTTGTGGAACCGCGCAGATCTGAATGTGACTTTTCCCGCCGGGAATTTTGACGGTGTGGTGAGTGGGTTGAGTGTCTCGTGGGCCGGTAGAAGTGTTTCGTGTGTGGTGGTTTGGCCCTGCCCGATTGGGTGCGACGGTTGACGGGAGTCGCTTTCTGGGCGGGGAAACGTGCGCGCCAGTTTACGGGTCGCTCATGCACGAAGGCCCCGAAGTGGTGTTATGTGCAGTTTGGGTCATCCGCAATTTGCGGATGCCCGGAACAGTGCTCATGACCGGAACCAAAGATACGCCCTGAAAGCACCATCCCATTTTTTAGTCGACTCAAAAATAGGCTGCACTGCCATCAATCCCCTATGCACACACCCTCCTGATGAAAGCACCCACCTGCTTGTGTGCTGAGGCCAGCCGGTCCTTGTTACGAGCAGCGATCGCCACCCTCGCCCCCTGCTGCACCGCCATCTCTCCTATGCACAGCCCTATGCCGCTCGAACCACCCACTATCAGCACAGCCTTGCCCTGTGGGGTGTGTGGGGTGTGTGGCGCATGGTGGGTGTGTGGGGTGTGTGAGGGAGAAAATGGAAAGCCCTTGCTCCACTGCCAATTTCCCCATGCACAGTTCTATGCAGCTCGAACCACCCAGTATCAGCTTGGCTTTGGCCTGTGGGTGGGGTGTGTGGGAAGGAACGCGGACGGAGCAGTAGTGAAGGAGAAAAGGGGAACCTTTTGCACCACTACCACTTCCCGTATGCACTTTCGAGGATTCTCAAAAGCTGCTGACTGCCACTGCTCCTATGACAACCCTATGCCGTTAAAGCCATATCGCGGAAAAGAAATGGGCCGAATTTTCGAGAAATGTGACAAAAAGGTGACGCATTGTACGTGATACTAAGTCGACGTTTCTCACTCACACCTTAAGCGAGATTCGCTTTGGCCGGCAAGCCCACGCGAGGATCTCAAACGAAATTACTATAACGGGGATCGTAACCAGTACCCACGCCCACCATTCCGCCATTTTGAATCTCGACTCTCGTCCTGATTCGCGCGTAGATAACGGGATACACCGAAATGTAACTTATTGGTGATAACCAACCACGGATCGAGACGGTAAAATGCTAGATCCGTTTGCTCAACGGTTATAAAATAATGTGACAGTGGCGAGAAACCACACTTCGTATAACTACGCAGAAAAATTAGTAGCGATAAGCCAAGTGGATTCTAGGTAGTTATTGAATTCGAGAACCAGTTTAGGAGATTATGCATTCGACGACGCGTCGCGACCCGCCCTGAAAGTTCTCGCAGTGCAAACTGATACGGACTGAACGGCCGCGATGCAGCCGCACCGTTGAGGACTGCTTATAACCGTAGATTAGAGATTGACTTGGTGCTTAGGGTGATTGATCCGATCAAAAGCGAAACTTTTGATTGGACAGTGTTGCCCCTGAACACACCGCTATGACGACATAAATACACTCAGCAAGTCTGCACATCCAATTTCTCATGATATTTAATGATTTTAGTAGCTACCCTACATTTGATCCATGAGAGCAACTCATTGTGCAAACATGGGTACCGTAACACCAGCGGGAAATAGCAAGCCACACATTAATTTCTCAATTACAAACCCGCACAGCGATAGGTGAAATTGTATAACCTGCTGGAGCGTCAACGCAAAGAAAAACCCTTTCCAGAAAAGGCTTGGAAGGATGGCTTTTGTGGCTCTTCCTTCTGAGGCTCCTCCTTTTTCTTTGGGGCCTGCACGCAGAGAAGACATAATTCGCATACATTTATATGACGGGAAGATGAAAAGAATGTATATATCACACGCAATCATGTGCGCGCATTCACCAAAAAAATCTTATTAAGTGCCACAACACGTACCGCATCATAAGACATCACCTTACACCTTGCCACACCGTACTCAACCACGTACCTTGGGACCCGCTCATGGTGCTGCATCTCTCGACCCAAATACAAGCCACCCCTCCTTTCTCCCCCCGCTCGCTGCACCGGCAGCACCAGCACCGGCGCCCCCACCACCACCAGCACCATTACCACCAGCAAGCACACACAAACACATCAGCCTACACCGTACCGTACCGCACTGAACCACATACCTTGGGACCCGCTCGTGGTGCTCCGTCTCCCGATCCAAACACCAGCCGACCCTCCTTCCTCCCCCCACTCGCCACACCAGCACCACCAGCAGCACCACCCGAACTACTACTCCCAGCGCCACCACCACTGCTACGAGCCCCACCGGCCCCGCCTGCCCCAGATACGCCCTCCCTTGATGCTGCTGACGTGGCGGCTGCTGATGTGGCAGGCGAGGAGGGGGAGGCTGCTGGGCGGCCGTCCAATCGCCTGCCGGTGCCGACGAATGGCGTGAAGGCGGGCTCCTCAGGTGGGGGGGCTGCTTCTGATTGGTTGAGAAGAGAGAAACAAGCAGGGGAGTGTGGGAGAGGGCATACGTAAGGGAGCGGCGGAGGGTGTGGCGGGCCGGGGGGTACGGGGAACGGCATGAAGGTGGGCTCCTTAAGTGGAAGTGCTCCGTCTGATTGGTTGAGATGAGAGAAAAGCATGGGCGGGGTGTGGGAAAGTGGGGGAAAGGGGGGTCCAAGTAAGGAGGGGAACAAGTGGTGTGAAGGTGGGCTGCTTTGCATCTGTTTGGTGTGAGAACCTACTTTTGAGGCGCCTCAAGAATTGGAACCAGCACCAGCACTAACAGCTACTGCTCCTTCACCTGCCGATGTTGGGAATCGCTGGGTCTCGACACAATCGAGGGGCGGAGCAAAGTCCACCTCACAATCCCATGAGCCAAGTCTTGATGATGGAGACGGCTGCAGCTGGGCGTGCATCCCCATGCCCATGGCCCGCTCTCTCCCTCTCGCGCCTTCCACATACCTGCTTTTCCGTCCTTCCCAGCGCTCTTCTTCCCTCCAGCTTCAGAGGCACCACCAGCAGCACCGGCAGAAGCTGCTGCTGCGGCTGCTGGGCGTGCATCCACATACCCACTCTTTCTCCTTCCACACACCTGCTTTTCCGCCCTTCCCAGCGCTCTTCTTCCCTCCAGCTTCAGAGCCGCTGGCACTGGCACCGACAGAAGCTGCTGCTAATTCCACACACACCTGCTCATGCCTGCCCTCTCTGACTCTCTGTTTCATTCCTCCCACATACCTGCTTTTCCGTCCTTCCCAGCGCCCTTCTTCCCTCCAGCTTCAGAGCCGCCGGCAGCAGCAGCAGCAGCACCAGCAGCAGGTGCTTTAACGGGTGTAGGCACTCGTTCCGGCTCCACATAATCGAGTGGCGGCGCAAAATCGACTTCACAATCCGTCTCGATAATGGAGATGGCTGCAGCTGGGCGCGCATCCACAACATCAATGAAGTAGCGCTTATTGTTGTATGCCACCATGATGCTCTCCCCCTTCGTCAAGCAGGAGAAGCTTCGCAGAGTCATCTCGAGCCTACAAAGGAGATAAAGGGAGGGAGGGGGCAGGGTGGGAGAATATGGAGGTTTGAGATGCCTGCTATTGGGCGCGCATCCACGATATGAATGAAGCCAAAACTTGAATACAGAGTTAGATTTTCTGGAGGTGATGGTAGGCACTTGGGTATTTTCTGGAGGTGATGGTAGGCACTTGGGTATTTTCTGGAGGTGATGGTAGGCACTTGGGTATTTTCACGAGTACCGCACGGCTGGGATGGTCACAGAGTTCGCATTTGTGCTGTTTGGACGTCGATTTCCAATAGCTCATGTGTTTATTGCGCTGGTGTAGTACGAAGCAGCGGTTTTTATGGATAAAAATGAGGACAGTCAATTGTGGGTTCGAATTCTCTCAACCGTGATTGAGGGTGACCTGAGCAGGATGCGTGCTGAAAACATGACGAGTCCGGTCGAAAGCGGCGTGTGGGGGGCAAAAGAATGAGGAGGTGTACTAGGAGGGGTAGGAATAACACGAGTCCCTTGCCCTTCCTAAAACCCCTCTCACTCTCGTGCCCCCCACACGCCTTCTTTTGACCGAACTCGTCATGTTTTCAGCACGCATCTTTCTCATGTCACCTTTACTCACGGGTGACAGAATTCGAACCATCTTTTACCACAAAAGATTGTTATCATTTTTATCCATAAAAACCGCTGCTTCAAATTGCACCGGCGTAATAAACACACGAGTTATTGGAAATCAACGTCGAAACATCACATATGCGAACTCTGTGACCATCCCAGCCGTGCGGTAGTCCTGGAAAATATCCAAGTGTCTACCATCACCGCTAGAAAATCTAACCCAGCATCCAAATTTGTGTTATCTCAAGCCTACACAAGGGATACACGGGTCGCAGGTAGCTGCATGTAGCTTCACGTATGAGCTAGCTATTAGGGAGAGTGGTGTTATCATCCCCCCCCAATAAGCACATCACAAACCATTACAGCCACACCCCCAGTACAGAAACGCCACTCACACAACTTTGGGGTTGGAGATGTCTGGAAAGCCCTTGGTGTGTGGCTGCAGCTTCATGTAGGTGCCCTTGGGGAGGGTGGTTACTGCTCTCCCCCCCCCCAGTAAGCACATCAATCGCTCACTACAATCACATCCCCCATCTTTCCCCAACTTATACTCACACAGCTTTGGGGTTGGAGATGTCTAGGAAGTCCTTGGTGTGTGGCTGCAGCTTCACGTAGGTTCCTTTGGGGAGGGTGGGGTGGGTTGTTTTGCTCAATGCCCATCCAACAAGCACATCCTTTACAATCACACTCACACAGGCCACCCGCAACCACTACTCACACAGCCTTGGGGTTGGAGATGACTGGAAATCCTTGGTGTGTGGTTGCAGCTTCACGTGGGGTGAGGCGCCTCTGACACCTTCCAATAAGCACATCACTCACTACAGGCACACCTTCCAAAGAAACACTCACACAGCCTTGGGGTTGGAGATGTCTAGAAAGTCCTTGGTGTGTGGCTGCATGCAGCTTCACGTAGGTGCATTTGGGGAGGGTAAGGTGGCGTTACTGCCCCCCCCCCCCCCCCCCCCCAAAAAAAAAAAAGCACATCAATCACTCACTACAGTCACATCCCCCACAGGAACACTCACACCTTTCCCAACTGATACTCACACAGCCTTGGGATTAGAGATGTCTAGGAAGTTCTTGGTGTGTGGCTGCAGCTTCACGTAGGTTCCTTTAGGGAGGGAGGAGTGGAGGTACTTTCCCCCCAAGAAGCACATCCCTTACAATCACAGATACACTCACACAACCGTCCCTTCCCCCAACCACTACTCACACGGCCTTGGGGTTGGAGATATCTAGAAAGTCCTTGGTGTGTGGCTGCAGCTTCACGTAGGTTCCTTTAGGGAGGGTGGGGTGGGTTGTTCCTGCCCATCCAACAAGCACATCCTTTACAGTCACACTCACACTCACACAGACTACTCGCAACCACTACTCACACAGCCTTGGGGTTGGAGATATCTAGAAAGTCCTTGGTGTGTGGCTGCAGCTTCACGTAGGTTCCCTTGGGGAGGGTGGGTTGGGTTGTTCTTGCCCATCCGACAAGCACATCCTTTACAGTCACACTCACACTCACACAGACTACTCGCAACCACTACTCACACAGCCTTGGGGTTGGAGATATCTAGGAAGTCCTTGGTGTGTGGCTGCAGCTTCACGTAGGTTCCTTTGGGGAGGGTGGGGTGGGTTGTTTTGCCCAATGCCCATCCAACAAGCACATCCTTTACAATCACACTCACACAGGCCACCCGCAACCACTACTCACACAGCCTTGGGGTTGGAGATGACTGGAAATCCTTGGTGTGTGGCTGCAGCTTCACGTGGGGTGAGGCGCCTCTGACACCCTCCAATAAGCACATCACTCACTACAGGCACACCTTCCAAAGGAACACTCACACAGCCTTGGGGTTGGAGATGTCTAGAAAGTCCTTGGTGTGTGGCTGCAGCTTCACGTAGGTTCCTTTAGGGAGGGTGGCGTTTCTGAATCGCACAATGTCCCCTTCTTGCAGCAGCAGATTCTGCATCATCTGATAAAGGCCAAGGGCGGGGGAGGGGAGAGGAAGGACGCAGGGTAGTCAGCGAGGGGAGTAGGAGGGGGGTTATCAGCGAGTGACTTGGTGTGTGGCTGTAGCTTCATGTAGGTGCCCTTGGGAGGGTGGCGCTTCTGAACTGCACTATGTCCCCCTCCCTCCTGCAGAAGCAGGTCTTGCATCATCTGGAAGAGTGCAAGGCAGAAGGGAAGGAAAAAAAGGGTATCAGCAGGTGAGTTGTCAGCTCAGGAGCGCACTATGTCCCCGTCCTGCAGAAGCAGCTCCTGCATCTTCTGGAAGAGTGCGAGGGAAGGGGGTGGAAAGAAGGAATCAGCAAGAGCTTCACGTAAGTGTCCTTAAAGAGGGTGGTGTCTCTGAACCGCACTATATCCCCCTCCTGCAGCAGCAGGGTGACTTTTGAGTCGACTCAAAATTCACCCTGAACCGCACTATATCCCCCTCCCGCAGCAACAGATTCTGCATCATCTGGAGAGTTAAGGTGCAGGGTAGCAACGGAGCAAGAGGGAGGGTATCAGCAGGTGACTTGGGAGTCGACTCAAAATCGCACAATATTTCCTTTGGGTATGCCGCACTATGTCCCCTTCCTGTAGCAACAGATTCTGCGTCATCTGGGTAGGAAGTATGAAGAGGAGGGAGGAGAGTACGGGGTATCAGCAAATAACATGTGACTTTGACTCAGAACCGCACTATGTCCCCCTCCTGCAGCAGCAGATTCTGCATCATCTGGGTAGGAAGTATGAAGAGGAGGGAGGAGGGAGAGTACGGGGTATAAGCAAATAACATGTGACTTTGACTCAGAACCGCACAATGTCCCCCTCCTGCAGCAGCAGATTCTGCATCATCTGGAAAGGATACAGGACATGTGTAGCAGGCACAGAAACGTACCCGATACAGGCACGCCTTAACCAATACGGCGAGCTTTACCCATAGCCCTTACCCAACATGGCAAGCCTTACCCAATATGGCAAGCCTTACCCAACATGGCAAGCCTTACCCAATCTGGAAGCCTTACCCAACATGGCAAGCCTTACCCAACATGGCAAGCCTTACCCAATATGGAAGCCTTACCGAACATGGCAAGCCTTACCCAACATGGCAAGCCTTACCCAATATGGCAAGCCTTACCCAATACGGCATTGTACACATATCCCTCTTCTGCAATGAACTCCAACACGCCGCAGTGTTGGCAAACCTATCACAAGTTGAGTTACTATGAATAGCAGTCCTTACCCAATACGGCAAGCCTTACCCAATACGGCAAGCCTTACCCAATACGCCAAGCCTTACCCAGTACGGCATGTACACATATCCCTCTTCTGCAATGAACTCCAAAACACCACAGAGTTGCTTGACCTAATACAGGATGACTTACTATGAATAGCATGCCTTACCCAATACGGCATGTACACATATCCCTCTTCTGCGATAAACTCCAACACGCCACAGTGTGACGTGCGGTTGGCCGCTGCGTTGTGCACCTCAAAGAGCATGGGGTAGTCTATGTGGAGTGATGCTGGCCGGATGGGGAGGGTGGGAGTGAATGGAGAGTGGTACAGATGGGTTGTGACAGGGGATGAGAGTGCGACGTGCGATTGGCCGCTGCGTTGCGCACCTCAAAGAGCATGGGGCAGTCTATGTGCAGGGAGGCTGGAGTATGGGGGGGGATGGGGAGCGGTACAGATGGGTTGTGACAGACAGGGGATGAGCATGTGACGTGTGACTGGCCGCTGCGTTGTGCACCTCAAATAGCATGGGGTAGAGCGGTACAGATGGGTTGTGATGGAGGATCAGTGTGTGCCGTGCGATTGGCCGCTGCGTTGTGCACCTCGAAGAGCATTGGGTAATCGATGTGGAGTGAGGCTGGGGGGATGGGGGGGGATGGAGAGCGGTACAGATGGGTTGTGATGGAGGATGAGAGTGCGACGTGCGATTGGCCGCTGCGTTGTGCACCTCAAAGAGCATGGGGTAATCTATAAGGAGTGATGCTGGAGTAAGGGGGGGGGATGGAGAGCGGTACAGATGGGTTGTGATGGAACATGAGTGTGTGTTGTGCGATTGGCCGCTGCGTTGTGCACCTCGAACGGCATGGGGTAGTCTATGTGCAGGGAGGTTGGGGGGGTGCGGGGAATTGGGGAGGAGTGGAGAGCGGTACAGATAAGTTGCGATTGGCTGTTGTGTTGTGCACCTCGAACAGCACGGGATAGTCTATGTGGAGGGAGGCTGGAGTATGGGGAGGGATGGAGAGTGGTACAGATGGGTTGTGACGGAGGATGCGCGTGTGTTGTTCCGTTGGCCGCTGCATTGTGCACCTCGAACAGCATGGGGTAGTCTACGTGCAGGGAGGATGGGGGGATGGGGAGATGGGAAGAAGGGGTGGGGAGGGGTGGAGACCAGTACAGATGGGTTACAGGAGTGTGTTCCATGCAATTAGCTGATGCGCTGTGCACCTCAAACAGCATGGGGTAGTCTATGTGCAGTGCAGTGAGGCTGGTGAGGATGGGGGGGGGGGATGGTGGGGAGTGGAGAGCGGTACAGATGGGTATAAGCGTATGACGTGCGGTTGGTCGCTGCCTTGTGAACCTCAAACAGCATGGGGTAGTCTATGTGGAGGGAAGGAAATTGGGGGGATGGGAGACAAAGGGGTGAGGAATGGTGCCAATGGGTTAAATTTCTCTTCAGATGAAGGGGGTGAGGAAGGGCGATGTTTAGACGACTCAAAGGTCACCCTTTCGAAAAGCATGGACGAGGGGCAGGGGATGAGGAAGAAGGGATGGTGAAAGTCGAGTTTTGAGTCGACTAAAAACTCGACTCATTACACGAGGGGCTGGGGATGAGGATGAAGGGATGGATCATGGCGGAACGGTGCAGATTGGGTGCAAAATCCGAGCATGCTTACAACGGGTATGGTCGGCTTACCGAGCCTGTTTGAAGACAAGGCAGGCCTATAGCCGGTACGGTGACTTACCGAGCCTGTTTGAAGACAAGGCAGGCCTATAGCCAGTACGGTGACTTACCGAGCCTGTTTGAAGACAAGGCAGGCCTATAGCTGGTACGGTGACTTACCGAGCCTGTCAAGAGCAGAGGGGGGCATGATGACTGATGGGAGAACCACAGGTGTAAGGAGGGATGGATGGCGCCGATTTGAAGTGGGGAAGCAGGGGGCGAGAGGGGGAGAAGGAAGGGAAGAGAGCAGGGAGAGGAAGGGGGATGTTTGGCTTATCCCTTAAGCCAAACAGAGTAAGCAGGGTACTTGAAGATGCATGCCGAAGAAGAGTGAAGCGGCTTATCACTTATGCGGTGACATGGAATTATGGAAGACGACTCATAGCAGTAAGGGTAGAGGGAGAAGGGGGAAAAAAAAGGGGGCGGCGGGAGAGGGGGGGAGCAGGACGGGAATAGCAGGGGGATGTTGGGCAGGGTACGAAGAGAGTGAAGTGGCTTGATTACTCATGCAGTGATACTACTGGGTTTAGGAAGACGACTCATAGCATTACCATGCCAGGCAGGTTGCTCTGGGCATTGAGAAAAAGCAAGAAGGGGCAGGGGGGAAGAAAAGGAGGGGGAAGGGGGGGATGGGGGGAGGGGTGGGTGGGGTTGGGTATATGCGAAAAAAGGGGAGGGTGTCAGTGACGCGTGATAGAGGCAACAACCACCTCCCCCCCCCCAAACACCAGCCCCCATACACAAACACCATCTTATCTCAACACCAGCCCTTTACCCCACACATGCCCTTTCCCCCCCACACACCCCTTCCCTCCCCGCACACACCCCTCCCAACACACCTTTATCGCCGTTCTCGAGGTGAGCCTGACAGCAATCGGAAGACAATTGGGAAGGGAAAGGGAGTAACGATTAGGGGAGAGTGGGAGTGGAGGGTGGGGGAATGTTGGGGGAGGAGGGGAGAGAAAGAAGAGATGGAGGGAGACATAAGTGCTGGAACGACTCAGCTACAACGTACTCTCTTGCCTGAAGATACAAGGTACAGCATACACACAATTGAACGTGAAAGCGCATACCTATGCCAGCCATGCGCGATGGCAAACAACAGAGCGTTTCTAGGCAATAAAAAACAGGCGGTGTTGTGCAATTCCCTCAATCAGGAGGACGGTAACACAGTAAACGGAAAACAATCACATGACTCAAGGTTGGCTGGTTCATCAAAGCTCACACAACCCCCATACAGGCTTTTCAGGCACCTCGAAATTAGTCTCAAACACCCCCCAACAGACTCTTCAAGCCCCTCATGATAAATCTGACTCACACAACCCCCCAACAGAACCGATATCAATGAACCAGCCGGGATACACGTGAAAGTTCTGCTCCAAGTGGCTTCAAGACGCCTCATTACTCACATGCACCGCACTGCACCACACTGCACCGCACCTTATCTATGAAGGAGACGGGATACACGTGGAGGATCTGCTAAAAAAACCTTCACACTTCCTTTTCTCAGTAGATGGCATCGCACTGCACCGCACCCCACCGCACCTTATCTATGAACGAGACGGGGTACACGTGAAAGCTCTGCTCAAACGAGCCGAGGGGCTGACCCATGCCCCCAAACGGCGGAAAGTACTGCCGTGGGGAGGGGGTAAGGGGGGGGGAAGAAGGGGAAGAAGGGGAGGGGGGGGGGAGGGGTGGGGGAATTGTGGATGACGGAGGTGGAGGGAGAATGTTTAGATTCAGGGAACGGCAGAAAGGAGAAGGCCATGACCTCATTGGAGCTCAGCGGCTGACCCATGCCCCCAGATGGCAGGAATTATTACATGGATCGAGGGTAGGTTGATGCTACTTTTGAGAGTTCTCAAAAGTAACGTCAAAAGAGCGGCAGAAAGGAGAAGGCCATGATACCATGCAGGCTCAGCGGCTGACCCATGCCCCCAGACGGCAGAAAATACTACATGGATTGAGGGTAAGTTGATGTTACTTTTGAGAGTTCTCAAAAGTAACGTCAAAAGAGCGGCAGAAAGGAGAAGGTCATGATCTCATTCAGGCTCAGTGGCTGACCCATGCCCCCAGACGGCAGGAAATATTACATGGATCGAGGGTAGTAGCTGGGGAGGGAAACATGAAAGATTGGACTGTGACTGCTAAAAAAAAAACTAGCGATCAGGCACATAGACGAGGCGATTGACCAGGAAGGTATCAGGAAAACACAAAAAAAGGTATCACAAATAGAATTCCGGCAAACTTGTCTCGTTGTGATTTTTGAGACTTCTCAAAAATCGTCTTGTTGTGATAGACAGGGCTTCGACGAATGAACAGCATGATTGGGCAAACGCAACTTCTGAGAATTCAAAAAAAGATTACCTCAACGGATCCGTCTCTAAACCACGTATCGTTTTCAGCCACAATACTAAACTAAGTCCCAAATCCATGTTGCCCACACAACAAGAAAGGGAATAACTCACTAGGTCCGCTTGCCTCGTAAGTAACGAGTAGCTTGTTAGGGTCATCTGTAGTACAGACCACCTCAGGACCCAGCGCTGACTGTCCCATGGCCATCTTTGCAATACTTGTATATACGCCGTGGCAATCGGGAATCCAAATAAATCCTTACCGCGGGAAGAATAGATGTCGCTGAGAAATTCTAGGGAACTCTGCCAAGAACGCAAGGCTATTAAGTACGCCGCTCAAACCAGAGGGGGGGTAATAACGAGAGAGGGTAACCAGGAGGGGGGGTAATAGGGGGAGAGAGGGTAACCAAGAGTGAGGGTAACCTGATTGACAGCAGATTCGCCTTACCATGATCAGAGATTGACGTGGACGATCAGGATTGGATGCTGAAGATTTTCTCTAGACGCGTTGCGACGAAGAAACTATCACGGTTGCCAAAATTTATGGTCAAGGACCTAAATCGATCAACTGAGGAAGCTGTTGCAACTACCGTAGTTCTCCTAGCCTACTTCTAAGTCTCGTCGCGAGCTTCGCGCGCCCAACAGGACGATCGAGCCCTCTACAATTCTCAAACAACTGGCTCGCTCTGATACACTCAAGGTAGCTTCAGCTGCTAGAGTCAACCAAGTGCTTGCTCCGACGACGAAAAAGTAACTGAAACGTGAATGAGTAACTAACCAAGTGAGGGAACTGAAGTGGCGGGTTTGGATGAATTTGACAGCACTCGCTAGGATGCTGTTGGTCTCTTCTCGTTGCCGTTGTCCTGGCCTGGGAATTTTCCTCCGCAAACCCAAAACGACCGCAGACGCTTCCAGTGTGTGATCCGATACAATACATTAGCATGAGGGGCTGTTCTTAATATGTGCGTAACTGAAGCGACTTAGCCAACACTTAGTCTCAATCTCCAACCATAACAGGATTTTCTTCTTACGCAAAGAAATGAAACAAAACAGCATAGTTCCACATTCACATATCAAAACGTCAACAAGCGATCACTAGAGTAACCCATCCCCTCCAGCAAAGGCGTCATCGCCCTGATCATGGGCGGAGGGCCACACATCAGCGCCAGGCTGTCCTCCCCGCCACGTGGCAGCCTCTCATTGGCCATTGCAGCAGTGACAAACCCAATCCCATACTTCCACCCTTCAGGCACAGGCTCGCAAATAGTGTACCAAACATGGAACCTTCCCGGGTACTGTTCAACCCACCGGTCCATTTCGTCTTGTAGCAGCACGTCAGCCACCGACCTGTTTCCGAACAGCACCCACATCTCCGTCTTATCCTCCGGATCAGCCAGAATCGCTTTTGCCACCTGATAAATGGGGGTAATTCCGGTGCCTCCCGCCAGCATGGCCAATTTCTTCCCCTGCTTCTCCTCCCCACTGACCAGGAACTTTCCTCGCCCGAGATACTCTATATGACCCAAAGGTCCCTTAATCTCGATAGTGTCACCGACCGATAGTGACTCTAGGTGCTGTGACATAACCCCGCCATCGGGAAACTGCGGAACTACCCCCTTAAAATAGACCTTCACCACCAGGTCGAAATACCCCACCCCGTCTTCGTCCGAGGTGGTCGGCGTGTACGCGCGCATCACCAGTTTGCCGCCCACCTTGGCACAAACAAACAAGTGCTTGCCGACCGGGAGCCCGAGGATGTGATTGGCCGAGGGGAGGGCGAAACGGAAGCGACGGACATCCGGCGAGAGGGAGACCTTGGAGAGGAGAGGCACGGAGATTCGCTTCTTGGGGTCGAGTGTGGTGGGGTGGAGGGCAGTGGGTGAGGCAGGGAGAGGAGTGGGGGCGGGCGTTGCAGCAGGAACAGTCACAGCAGCAGCAGCAGAAGGCCCCTCCTCCTCGCCCTCTCCCGCCACATCCCCTATATAGTACTCCTCGAGCATCTTCTTAGCCTTTTCCGAGTGAATCGCATCAAACTCCTCTGTGACATCCGTGCCCGCATTGATGGTGATGCTCTCGCTGCCGCCCGGGTGGTCCTTGAGAAACTTGGTGCAATCATACACCCTCCCATGCACCACGATCCACGGTGACGATTCGTCCGCGTGCCGCTCGATCTCAGCCATCGAGATCTTCCGAACAGCCGCACCGGACCTCTCTCCCGAACCTGCCACCGCTGCCGAAGCTGCAGGAGCAGGAGCAGGGCCTGGCTTGGTTTGAGAAGCCCCAGCAGCAGCAGCAGCAGCAGGAAGATCTGCTGCCTTGAGAACAGCAGCAGTTGACCCTCCTGCTCCTGCTGCTGCCATATTTCCCCCCGGCTTGCCGTCCCCTGGAGCGTCATACATCCAGCCGCCAGGGAGGTTGCCGGGGCGGGTGGGGTGGATGAACTGCAGGCCGATGGAGCCTTCTGGCGTCACCGTGGGGGCCACTCGCACTCGGAACCAGCAGTTGTTCATCATGCCCTGGTGGGGGGGGGGGGGGGGGCGGGGGTGTGGAGGGGGGGATGGAAGAGGAAGAAGAGGGAAGATGAGAGGGCAGGGTGCGGTTGTCGTGATTTTCTAATCGACTCAATATCAGCCCGCACTCACGATGCCATGCCACGTCAGCAGCCCTCACTTATGATGCCATGCCACGTCAGCAGGCCTCACTCATGCTGCCATACCACGTCAGCAGGCCTCACTCATGATGCCATGCCACGTCAGCAGGCCTCACTCACGATGGCATGCCTCGTCAGCAGCCCTCACGCATGATGGCATGCCACGCCAGCATACCTCACTCACGATGGCATGCCACGTCAGCAGCCCTCTCTCATCATGCCATGCCACGTCAGCAGCCCTCTCTCATCATGCCATGCCACGTCAGCGGCCCTCTCTCATCATGCCATGCCACGTCAGCAGCCCTCCCTCATCATGCCATGCCACGTCAGCATCCCCCACTCACCATGACGTTCCAGGTCAGCTTATCGGGCTGCGTGTTGGTGGCATCATCCCACGCCCGAACTGCAACCTCGCTCGCCCCCACCAGGTCGATCACGGGGACTTCGGTTGCCCACAGGCTCCACGTCCAGTGCTTGCCGTGGCTGGTGGGGGGGAGGGATGGGAGGGAGGGGATGGGGGGAGATGGGAGGGGATGGGAGGCACAGATGAGGGAGAAGAGAGTGTGAAGTCGTGGCATAGTGAGGGGACGAGAGAGAGAGGCAAGACACGAGAGAGAAAGGTGGGGAAAGAGGCAGGGCTGGGAAGTGGGGCCCGGTGGTGAAAGGGAGTACTCACCGAGTGGGAGGGCTGGGGTGGGTGATGTCACACAGCCGCCACGTGCTCCCTCCATCCAATGTGATCTCGACACGTGTCACCCTCCTGCCGCCACCCGAGTACGCGTACCCCTTCATCGTCACTACCTGCCGGCCCGCGCCGCCCTCCAAAGCCACCACGTCACCATGGTCCGGACTAACTATCGCCGAATTAATCGCCAGCTCGTTGCAAATATACTCCTTTTTGCGCCACCACCCATCCTTCATAGCAGTCTCAGCGTCCACATGTGAAGGCAGCACGCGGTTGTCATGAAAATGGTAGTAGTTTTGAGATTCTTCCCGGGTAACTTCCACTTTTTTCAGCCACTTGACCATCCGCCCGCCGATAAATCCAGGGATAATTACCCTGACCGGAAACCCGTGGTCCGGGGAGAGCTCCTGCCCGTTTTGCTCGTACGCCAGGAGAACTTCGTTTGCAGGGTCCATTACTCTCCATAATTCCATGCTAGTTCCGTAAGTACTCCCTCCTCCTCCCGGCAACGTTTCCGCCCCTTCGAAGCACACGAATTTCCCCGCGTTCTTCCCTTTTAGCTGAACGCCGCACTTTATAAGCACATCTCTTAGCAAAACACCCTTCCACACCGTCGTTGCTGCCGCTCCCGCTCCCCAGCTGAACCCAATCGTCTGCTTGACCGCGTTTTGCTCTTTCCGCCTGTTCCCCACGCACACCAGCAGCACGGGAAGCTTCCTGGAAGGCATCGCGAGCAGATCCGCCATTGACAGGCTGGCAGGCTTGCTGACTAGACCGGAGATGTCGATTCGCCACGTGGACCAATCCAGGCGCGGCACGTAGCCGTGGTTCCGAACGTAGTGGAGAGGCACGGGAGTGATGAACCCCGAGGCTGGATCCGAGCGGGAGCCGGGAGCCGCCGAACCTGCCGCCAACCCTGAATCAGAAGCAGAGCCCGAGCCTAACCCGGAGGTCAGGAGGCGGGAAAGCGGCGGCTCGCAGTTGAAGGGGTGCTTTCCGGTTAGGCGCACGAGGGAGGGATGGCGGGGGATCCACCTGGGGGGAAAGGGAGGGGGAGGGGGAGGGTTGGGGGAAGGGGGAAGGGGGGTGGGGGAGGGGGGAAGAAGAGGGGAAAAGCGGGGGAGAGGGGGGATGTGGGAGAGAATGGGGAGGGGGAAGGGACGGAGGGAAAAGCGGGATGAGAACGACGGGGAAGCGAGAGCGAGGATGGGATGGGCGAACAAGGTAGATGGCACGAGGCAGATGCGATTAATTAGGTGAGAGGGGAAGGGGAAGTGAAGAGGTTTCGTGTGGGAAGGGGGGAGTACCGATAGGCAGGAAGGGTGGATGACTGGGAGGAAGGGGGGGAAGAACGGAGGGAAATGCGGAATCTACTACATACTAACGGGGAACGTGGGGCGAGAAAAGAGACTCCTCGAATCACGGGTCTCGGGGGTCTCAACGAGAATGCAACGTCAATCCTCAACGAAATTCTGACCGAATCCTCAAGCTCCGGCCGACGTACTTGTCAGGCGTGTTCGCGTCGCGGGCGTCGATCGAATCGGGTTCATCCGCCACTACCGGATACTCGTACTGCTCCTCTTCTTCCTCCTCGTAATCCTCATCATCCTCCATTGTCTCCGCATCATTCTCCTTTCCATTCTCCGCTTTCTCCGTTTCACTCTCCTTCTCCTCATCCACCTTCTCCGATTTGTTATTCTTCCCCTCGACCGGAACGATGCTGTCTGCTCCGACGTTCACAATCGTCTTCTTCAGCTCGTTAAACGCATTCTCCACGTTTGCGACAGCGTTGGCGATGGTAACCCCATTCGCGACAGGTCCGTCACTTTCGTAACTTTTCGCCAGCACGCCTTTCGCCGCAATGGTGCTGGCGACGAAAGCCGCAGCGGAGACGGCAGAAGATTCCTGATGGGCCACCATTGTGACGACCAGCAACGGCAGCAGCAATTAGAGCCGCGAAACCGAAATGAAACCCGAGCGAAACTCAAATGAAACAAGAGCGAATATCTAGAAGTCGTTTCAAACGAGCAAACTATGAACGAAGAGCTGTTTTTCCTGAAATAACATCCCTAGCACTATGCGGCACGGCGACCTGCGCAGAATTCCGCGGGACGGAGAAGGAAGCTAAGCTGCAAGAGGATTTCGCGCAGCTGAGCTACTTCGACATAATCGAATCCACTCTTATGCAGCTGCAGCTCGCAAAGAGTTTCTCGCTGCGAGGTGATTTCTGAGTCGACTCTCGAAAGGAGTCGCTCTCCGTGACTAGTCAGGAGTCACGACACGACGAGAGGTGACGTGAGGTGACGCGATAGACGCGGAAACCGGCACGGATTCAGAGGAGAACCGATCACCGACCAGCTGACTCGGAAGCTTTGCTCTGATTGGTCGGCTGGCAGCAGTGGACTGGAGCCGAGAGGGCGTGGGGCAGCGACGGACGGCTGGCTGAAGACGAGGTGACGTTTTAGAGCGTGGATACACATTTACACGAACAGGCTGGCGGTACGGCTTACGACTGATTCTAGCCGCAAAGCATGGTTGGCTGTCCCTGGCGGCTCCTAAATTTGATGGCTTTTCGCAGCTCCTACGCTTTGACGACCTTTCGAGCATGCATTGTGTACGGTTAGGGTTGCGTGAGGGGTTTCTCATTTCGCCGATTCCTGACTTACCTCGCTTTCGCGAAAACCCACGGAACTCTCTTGGAAATGGAAGGGTTGTTTGGATGCCGATCGTGGCCGTTCGCAGGAATCGTGAGTCCATAGAAATCGGATGCACGTGCACTAGGAGAATCACATCCATGGAATAGAGAACCCGATACCGAATATCCTGCCAACTGGAGCCACCAGTTTCCTATGCTTGGCTCTTTTGGATCCTCAAAAGCGGTTTCGTACACGTAGAAGTGATGAAGTATGAGTGGATTGGATTAGAAGCATTGTAGGAGGAAGAACAAATCCGTGGTGTGAGAAGAGCAGCTGTACTTTATGTATTCAAAAACCAACACGATAGGTAGAAAGGTGAGGGGACGGAGGCTGCCGCTTTCACTGATTCGCTAACTCGCTGCGGCCATGGCTTTTTGGGCTGAGTTCCAGCCTCCAGGAGGTCCCAAGGAGATGCGAAAAGACATGGTGGTAAGGAGAGACATATGTTTTGAGGTTACCCTAGTATCGCGAAGCCCTACTTGTCTGGAGGAAGGGTAGATCCGCTGTTGAGAGCTAAGTGACAAGCATAAAATTCCAGAATTCACAATGTGAAAGATAAATTCAACCGCTTACAACTGACGTATCAAGTTAGTGTTAACCACTACAAGACGGAAGAGTTTGCGCGTAATCCTTCTGCCCGCATTATCACAACTCCTGGACGTTAACATTTTTGGAAGGACAGGAGGACACTAAACAGCCAATCCGACTGACAGGAAGCTGTTTGCACGCTGTTTACTGATTGGGCGCAAGAGAAGCGGGTCATGGAATCAATCAAGAACCACCAAATCAAGGCGTCCCGGGTGATGTCAAAAAAGAGACCTTAGAATGAGGCCGCTTTGGTGAAATCGTTTGCTGCCTATGAGAAACTTTTCAAATCAAATGGTGTACCATTCCGTAAATTCACATTTCTACGTATTTACAACACTCCTCATCCTCAGCCTTCTTCCTCCATAACCTCTTCACTGCCTTCCTCCCCATCGGAATTATCACTTTCATCCTCAGAAGAATTACTCTCATCATCTTCGGACTCTTCATCTGCAACCAAGCACGACACCCTAATGGAGGGAAATTCTAATATCGTGCGCCCTGCAAGTTGTGTCCGAAGGGTTTTGCGGATGTCAAGATCAAACAGCTGTCAGAATTCATGCAAGAAGCGTGTAAGGGAGAGAGGGGGTTGGGAGAGACGAGGGACCGTGGGGGAAGAGAGGGGGTTTGCCGGATATCAAGCTCACACAGCTGCCAGATTTCATGCAAAAGCAAGCAGGTGCCTGCCTGTGGCACGAAGCATGATAACGAAGGGGAAAGATAAAAAAGCACAAAAACCATGCCTGGGAAGGAGGCACTACTTTGCTGCGATCTCAGCCGCCACAAGATCTTTCCTAATTAGTCATGGGACACATCACAAAAAGTAACACATGAGAAGATACCCATGGAAAAGCAGAACCATACCTGTGAAGGAGGCGTTTCTAGCTGCAGTCTCAATCGCTGCAAGACCTCTCCCAAGGAGGCTGCTGGATGCGAAGACGAAGGAGAAGTTGCGAGTTGCGATGCAGGTACCACCAATTCTGCCGTTTCTGTTGCTGTTGTTGCTCCTGCTGGTGGTTGTGGTGGTGGTGGTGGTGCTGCTGCTGATGCCGTTGCTGTTCCACCTGCTGCTGCTGGAGGTGCAGTTGAAGCTGGTTGTGCTGCTGCAATTTGGCCTTTCAGTGCCTGTCTTATGGCTGCTTCAGCTGCTGCTATAAGAGGCTCATCCTCTGAGATTCTGAGAGCATGGGAATAGAAATAGCAAGGCAAGAAAGAGGGAGACGAACAAGAGATGAAGTCTTGATGCGCGGCTGCGACTGAGGTTACTAGTGCCTGGCTTATGGCTGCTTCAGCTGCTGCTATACGCGGCTCATCCTTAGAGATTCTAATAGCAAGGGAAGGGAGATATCAAGAATGAAAAGGGAGAGAAACAAGAGGGTGCGGTCTGCTGCAATAGGGGCTTTCAGTGGTTTTCTAATGGCCGCTTCAGCTGCTGCTATAAGCAGCTCATCCCCTGAAACTCAAAACAAGAGTACGAAATGGGGATATCAAGGCAAGAAAGGGAGAGAAACAAGAGGGTTAAGTTATTAGGGTTAAGTTATTAGGGCTTTCAGTGCCTGCCTTATGGCTGCTTCAGCTGCTGCTATAAGCGGCTCATCCTCTGGAAACTCTAAGAACACGGGAATGGGGATGTTACAAAGAATAAAAGAGACGAAGAAGAGGCTGAAGTAGATATGTGAACAGGCAGTGCCTCAAAGAAACATGCAAAAACTCCAGGTGAAGCAGAACTTTTGTGAAAGGCAGGAGAAAATTACCTGAGTTCCACAAAAGTTGTGGAACTCAAAATACAAGAAAATGAGATGAGGCACCCAAAAGCAGAGACACTGGATTCGAACTGACCAGTGAGAAGATGTGACTTTGCTTTGCGATTTTCCGTCTGACTGACTTACATTGAGTCTATCGTGTGTGGCAGAAGGAACGTTGAAAGCGAGGCTGCTGTGCTCCCATTGGCAAGCACGTGGTTGTCGTTGTTGTTTTCATCCATGCAGATGGATCGGATTGCAAACTGCCATCGCACATGCCACATGATGCACCGCTTCCTGCAATGAGGGCATGAATGAACATGGACATGTTCACATCACACAGAAACACAAGTTATTGGCATGCATGTGGCTGTTGTTGTTCTCATCCATGCGGACGGACCGGATTGCAAACTGCCATCGCACATGCCACATGATGCACCGCTTCCTGCAGTGCAGTGCGCATACAAATTCACAGATACACACATATACACATTAGCATTCATGCTTATGGACCTGAATGCAAACTGCCATCGTACATGCCACATGATGCATCGCTTCCCGTGGTGAGCACATGCACAAACATGCACATGTCCACACAGAAGCACGGGTTAATAGCATGCATGTGGCTGTTGTTGCTGGCACCAGCATAAGGCTGCCAGGCCAAATGAGAAGGCAACACAGCAAGAGAGGGAGAGGAGGAGAGCGGGCAAGCGAGGGGGAAACTGGGTATGTTTGTGAATAAAAAAAGGTTCTGGGGTTTCACAGGCTCTGGACCGCAACGCGCCTGTGCCGAAACCAGGTTCAGTCGGCCTTGTGCTCTGACCAGCATCACCAGCATCACCAGCATCAGCAGAAGGAAGACAGGGGGTGCCTGTTGTGGTTGCAACACATACCTGTGCTGAAGTTCGTTCGGTTCGCCTTGCGTTTGAACATGCCTGGTGGCATCAGCAGCAGCTCAATGCCAAGGCATTATATGGATGATTTGGGGTGTGTGGAGTGACTGTGGGTGTGCGGGGGTACCTGTGTTGAAAGTACGTTCGGTTGGACTTGCGCTTGGACATGCCAGGAGGCATCAGCAGCAGCTGCACGCCTCTCTGCCTGGCTGTCTGCTGCATTCGCCCCCAGTGCTTTCCCACCTGGTATACAGAAGAAGAGAAACGAGGATGGCACACGGTTGAAGGGGTAAGAGAGCGGTTGAATGGAGTGGAAAACGGTTGAAGGTGCAATGGTTGCAGCTGCACGTCCCTTTGCCTCGCTGTCTGCTGCATTCGCCCCCAGTGCATTCCCACCTGGTATACAGCTGAAAAATATAAGTGGGTGGTTGAGTGGAGTGGAGGGAGGTTGGAGAAATGGTAGCAGCTGAATGCCCCTCTGCCTGGCTGACCGCCCCATACTTACTTCAGAGACGTTTTTTCAGCTTACTTTGAATGGCACTCCTGATTGAGTGAGAAGGAACCTTCTGCCCTGTTTCCTACCTGTGCCTCGTAGCGGACCCCTAGAGCCGTGCGCGTGCGCTTCGCCACGTCATACTGCAGCAACGCGTCTTCCAGGAAACGCAGGTCTGGTGGTGGTTGCAAGGAAAGGGATGTGGAGAGGGGGGAGGGGAGGGGGTGTGGGGGTTGGGTAAGGTGGGGTCTTGAGGAGGGGTCTTTGCCACGTCATATTGCAACAACGCATCTTCCAGGAAACGCAGGACTGGCGATGGTTGGAGAGGAGGAGGGGGGTTCAGGTGGAGGGGGGGTGGGGGTGAGGAGGGCAGGGGGAAGGGGGAGGAAGGGTGGGCAAGGAGGGACATTGGAATAGGGCCTTAGCCACGTCATACTGCAGCAGCACATCTTTCAGGAAACGCAGGTCTCGTGATGGTTGCTGGGGAGGCAGGAGAGAAAGAAGTGGGGGAATGCGGACAAAGTGAGGCCATGGGATAGGAGCCATATGGGGGGAGGAGGAGGGGCGGGGAAGGAGGGTCCATGGGGGAGGAAATCTTAGCCTACACATCTTCCAGGAAACGTAGGTCTCGTGATTTCTCGCACCATAAATAGCAGACGATTTATGCTTGTAACAAGGGTTGGGGTTCCCAAGTTTTACCCCGCAAGACTTTCTAGAAATATGAAGTCTAATTCAGTTCGTGAGGGGATTATCCGGGTTTTTGCAGGGCTTTTTCGATGTTTTGCAGGGTTTCAGGGTTGCAGAAAAGCTAGATACAAAGCGAAGCCTCGTTACAAGTTTCTACCCCGTTGTGGGAGTAGTGAAACTGCAGCAAAACCCGCGGTACACGCTCACCTGATTCATTACCACACTGCCCATCATGACACCGTCCTGATTCTACAGTCACACCTGACACCAGCTGGTTATCGTCGAACTTCGTTATTGGAACAAATTCCGCGCGGTTGCGCTTCCCCGTGCATCCGCTCGCCGTCTTGTGCGCTTTTACGCACAGCACGCTACACGTGGCAGCACTACAGCCAGGACACCTGTACTTGGCGGGGTCCTGCTGACACTGAGAGCACATCGTGCGCGGAGCTTGCGCCGATGAGAACCCCGCGGCAAGCGCCAGCTCCGCCATCGCGGGAAGTGTAAGTTCCCCTACTCTCGTTTCCGCAGGTGTTGGTGGGGCGTTCCGCGCTCGAAGCTCCGTCATTGCGGAAACTTCGCGAAGGACAATATTTCAACCGTAAGTTGCACGATACCTTTTAAAAGTAACGCGCGGCGCTAGCCCTGGCAATTTAACTATTCCGCTACGGATGACTAAAGTTGTCGCTCAGGAAGAGCTATGGGCTTCGTAACGGTTTGAGCAAAAACACCGATCGCTTGAGGAGGTTTTTGAGCGATAACGAGAGGGGCTCCACATCAGTGCGCAGTTGAAGCCCTTCAAAATCCACATAATACGAACGATATCGTACTAAAACGTTTGTCACCGAAGAAATATACATCGTAAGTTTGGCTTCAAGCCAACTAAGTGATCAATTGCCCAAGCCCAAGCCTTGCTCATTTGCCCCATGAAACATGGTGACTGACACCAAAGGCCCCGAGGGCGTGCCCGTAGATGTTTCTGTGAGGTTCAGGTCAACGTTTTGTTACGAGGCCGTGGCGGCACCACGAAATTCCTTCCAGCTCCCAACAGGCACGCCACTGCGCGCCGTGGAGCTCACGGTGTGGACCAGTCATCAGACACGGACGACGCTCGAGTCTTGGAACTCTTCGCCAGCGTCACCTAACCAATGATGCAGTTCGCACAATTGTCGTTTTCTGCGGTAACAGATGGTTTATTTCGGCCACAGACATAACCTCCACGTAACTCAAACCAGAACCCGAGGTCCGGTTTCCCGCTACAACTTCGCCGGACATCGGTGCACCTAGGGTGACCGCACCGAAACGGTCATCCCGCCGATATTACCGAGCCAGAAACGAACCAGCTGAATTCACCTGTCAAATCAGCGATCACCCGAACGTCGCAACCTGCCCTACCTCGCCAAACCAACTTCACCTACTAGCCAGTGCCTCCTCCCTCCAGTGCACAGCATGCCTAGAAACCACCGCCATCTGCTTGCCTCTAGTGTGTGCGTCGAAGCTAAATTTTCGCTCTCGTTGCAGCTCAAATTTGCTAGTCTGCGCTGCTGGATTCTGCATTTCAACTAGTACCACTGCCAACTTCAGTTCTTCCCTCCGCGTCTTAGAGCTCTTCCTTCTCTGAATAGCCTGCTAAGTCAGTGCGATCATCTCAAAAAGGTTGTACGCTCGTGCAATTTTCGACCGATCCTGCTTGCTCTGAAGGCATGGCCCCTGAACCACAAGTCGTCGTCGAAGGTGTTGAGGGAGGTTCTGTGAATCCTCAGGTTGCTGCTGTGAAGGCTTCTCTAGCCAAAGTTTCCGAGTCTTTCCAAGCAGCGATCGCTCAGCAGCGTCCTTGGTCCGAAGTAGCAGACAGGTCTCAGATTGCCAAACCTGAGGGTTTCAACGATGCAGTCAGCAGGATGCGAAAGAACATCGTGTACTTCAAAGCCAACTACCTCGCTATCATCATCGGCATGGTCGTTCTCAGCATTCTATGGAACCCCGTTTCCATATTCTGGCTCGGAATTCTGGGTGCAGCCTGGGTCTATCTCTTCATGATCCATTCGCAGCCGCTGGTGATTGGAGGAAGGGTTTTGAGCGAAACCGAGAAGTTACTGGGCATGATCGCGATCTCAGTCCTGGTGATCTTCGGTCTGACATCCGTTGGGTCCGTCCTTATGTCGGGTGTGACACTAGGACTCGTCGCGATTGCCGTCCACGCATCCCTGAGAGTGCCTGATGACTTGTTCATCGACCAAGGCCCCGCACCTGGCAGCTACATGTCGTTCCTGGGAGGAATCAACAACCAGCAACCTGTGTCCGTTGGAGTTTAGGCGTCGTTAGCTGACTTTTGAGCTTGGCTGGTCCTAGTGCTTCTCTGTTATGTAAAGCCCTTGAGCATGCAAACGCAAACTTGTCAGAAATCTCAAATCTCAACAATGATACTGTCTTAGAATGATCTTTGTTGGAGCTTATGATAGGGATACGTCAAAAACTTCCTGGCATGGCACATGTCGGATTTAGCAAACCAGAAAGTTCAATTCCTACTTTCAGCAAGCAGTGACGGTGGTAGTCATGATGTACAATTGTCTAAACCGGACTATTGGTTGCCCAATCTGAGTATGAGAAGGAAAGAAACAGGCCAAAACATTATGATTTCATTATTCAGCACTAAACAAATAAACCACTCGAGCAGCCCCATGTATACCTTCTATCAACTAATGGGGCCCCTCCCTACTTAACTTGCACTAAACACGTAACTAGCACACGAGATAATAACTCTACAGCATGCGCACGAACTGTTGGTGCTCCGGGTGGCGCTTGTAACGCTTGTAGAGGAAGAAGGCGGAGTAGGACAGGAAGCACACCACCACCAGTACCACCAGCACCAACCCCACGATCGCTCCCGCATTGGCCGCGCTGCTACTGCCACCACCACTGCTGGCACTAGCACTCTGTGCATTTTTGCTTGCCTGCAGGACAGGCAGCCAGTGTAAGAGGAGAAGAAAACATCAGTAGGTGCATGATCCTATGTTTGGAAACCTGACAAAGGGTGCGCTGGAAAAACGTGATGTATCATTGCACTGCACAGCATGTCAATCAGGAGCATACCTCCATTTGGTTGTACGTCACGGCAACGCCAATCTCCGACATCTTGGGAATGATCGCCTGAGGGGCCTCCATTTGAAGCGTCAGATTGCCCCTCCAACCCGCAGGCAGAGGTCCGGGCCGAAGCACGTACTGCAGGTCAGGGTTAATGTCCTTCTGGTTCAGCACCCACTTGCTCTTCTCCTTCCACGTCTGGTCAATCAGATTGTAGAAGCCGTACTCGGGGGTCTGGGCCTCCGAGTCCCTCTCTCCAGTCACATTATTGAACGACATTGTGCCTGACGCTCCGTTGAAACGCAGGCACCCAGACGGCTTGTCCTTGAAGCAGTCAATCACTGCTGCTGACGTCACATCGTCCTCTGCGAGAGGGAGAGCGAGAGAGAAGGATTGAGAATGAGTGAGAATGCAACAGGGGTATCAGTCAGAGACAAGGACCAGTGTATCTGAAACGTCTCATAGCTCCTCTCAATCATCAAGGCTGCAGAAAGTTTAGAGCACATACTGTTGACGGAGATGATGTGGCTGAACGCCTGGTAGAAGGCCCAAATGGCATCCACCAGGTTGGTGACGTACGCACGAGCTTCAGTATACTGGAGATAGAAGAACAAAGCGAGAGATGGAAAGAGTGGGGGACGAAGGATTATTAGGCCAAGGAAATTGTTTTTTCAAGTGGACAAACTGAATAAGTGCAAGGAATGAGCAAAGAAACGAAGACCGGATGTGCGACTTGAATGTGATTGGTCACATTGTAACTCACCCTGGGCGAGACGTCGAGGCTGAGCAGGCCGGGGTACGTTTCGTGCGACTTCTCCTTCCAGAAGTCCATGAACCGCACGAAAGGAGAGTTGCGGGGGTTGTAGTTACCCTCTGCAAGGGGGAAATTTAAGGGTAGACACATATGTTCAGAAGTGGGTCAGACTCGTGCGAGTTCATCCCATCCAACAAAATGAACGAGAAATTGTCGGTAGCCACCGCATACGGAAGATTTGTAGTTATTTTCGTGCAATTTTCTAAAACTCGCATGGTGGATGTGGGGAAAGAGAAAACTCACTGTACGGCGCGACGCCTATCTCGCCCTGCAGCGCGTGCGTCAGGTGGTTGAGCTCATCACCGTCCGTCACCAGATCGAACGCCACAGCACCGTCGGATCCGAGGTACCACCACGGGAACTTGGTGTAGTTCTGCGGGGAGGGGAGAGGAGGTGAGTATAGGGTTCACCAAAAGCCTCCAACATATAGTGTTCTATCACGAAAGATGCAGACCAGAGTCATTGTTCCAGCAAGCGATCAGCTCTCGCGGATAAGTCCGCCGGATTGTGCGCTAACTAATTTGAAGAGATTGTAAATATGAGAATAATTATTTGGAAGTGCTCACCAGGTTGTATGCGGCCTTCCAGAGGTTCTCGGCGACGTTGGGGAGGGTGATGAAGACGTTGATGGTGCCCTCGTTGAACTTCACGCCATCGAAGTAGGGCTCGTAGTCCACGGGGTTGTCCGTCCCGGGATACGCGATCTCGATCTGCGTCGCCGCGTCTCCGAGCGTTCTCTTGAGCACGCCCGATAGCGATCTGCCGTAGAGCTCGGCGGAGTGGAAGAGGTTGACCTGCTTGAAGTTGAAGTACTTAATCTGCAGAGTACAACAATGAGAAAAACAAGAACAACCCACGAGAAAAATAAGAAACCCAGGCGAACCAGGGAAGCATAGAGCACGATGGCAGTGAACTACGCGTTCATATAACGGGGTGCTTGTAACGCACCACAGAGAGCATCGCGCGCGCCTGGTGCTGGTCCGCGTACACCGTGCGGAAGAACGTGGGGAACGCCACGTCGTCAGCGAACGCGTCAGCAGTAGCGGCGAACGAAATGAACGGAATGCCGGCCTCCTTGAAGACCGTGTTGGCTCCCGCGACCGCCTCGGAGCATGCCGGCCCCACCACGCCCATCACTCCACCCGCCACCAGCTCCTGTTATGGAAGAGTTGAAGAGTGCAGGGATTGAAAGCAGAGGCAAAAACATTAGCGGGAACTTTGAGCGAGACGATGTTATTTCATCTCGTTCATTGATTTTGACCCTTCAAAAAACGCAGCGGTAATTCTTCTAGGGACTGGACGGTCCGTGGCATCTGCAGCGGCAGCGCAGGTAGCAGCGACGCTGTTGCACCTGGATTACTCAGTGGACCGCTCGGGATTTCCTGCACATTTTTTATTGGGCAAACTGAACGAACCTTAGCAGCTTCAGCAGCAGCGGTGCTGTTACATCTCGAGTTCTTCACGAATGGCTCGACAAGAAACGCGCCCTCGTAGTCGGGAGCCAGCACCTCCATAGCAACGCGAACCGCCGAAATCCTGCAATGTTTGAAACGTCGAAGATCAATGAGTCAGACTAAATTGAATTGTTGAATTGCAACGCGAGAATCCTCATGTTCTTCTGTTGTCCTTCAAAATCGCGTGCTCGTGGCTGGTAAAAAAATAAGCAGCAGAGGCCAGGTGGTGCATGAATTGTGATTTCAAGTCAGATGAATTCGTACGTCAGGCGTATATTTCTCACCATTCGTTGGCTAGCCTTTCTGGAACCGCGCTGTCGCCCTCGGGATACGGCAGCAGAAATCCTAGCCTGACGACTTTCTGCGCGTGGCAAGCGGATCCTAGGAGAAGCAGCAGTCCGAGTAGAGCCACACACGAGGACCGCGTGAACGGCGACATGGCTTCGAGACGCTCTGGTCTAGATCGCATCGATTGCGACGTTCGTGATTCGAAAGGTGACAAGAATGATTCCGTTAAGTGAAAGAAAATGGAGCAACGGCTCCTCTCAGAAACGCTACAGAAGCTGCACAGCGAGATGCTGTGTGTACGTGAAGAAAATGGTAATGAGCTAGAGCTTGCAGCAACTGAAGGTTTTGAAGAGCAGTCAGGCGAATTTGACCATCATGAGGCAAGACGAGCCTCGATTGGGGACAGTTTGGAACGCGAAGCAAACCGCTGGACCTGGGCCTTCAGGAGGGTATGGTTTGGGGGGCTTAAAACGGATTTACAGAGAGTGGAATAAGGTGTGATGGGATGGGGCTGGGTTGGCCTGGATCCCACACCACACTGCCATGACGGTCTGTCATCTCCTCGTCATCCCCCTCTGCCCAGGGTGCAGGAAAGCAAACGGGCAACAGCCAAGCTTGCCGCGCTGCCGAACCGAGGAAGTCTCTTTGGGGAGACACTGAGCTTGGCTGTGGAGTGCTGGGCGCGGTAAACCGAGCAGAGGGGCGTGAAGGGCGGGAGGTGTGGGTGATGGACGAGACGCGCAGTCAGTCTGGTCAGGCCAGAGGTTTGGAAAGAAGTGCGGGCAGCTGGAACATAACAAAAGCTCGTGGACGAGAGTGTTACCCGAATTATGCGCTTCTCGGTCAAGCCAAGCGAAACTCAGGAGGTTTGGCATCCTTTTTCCACAAATGACAGGGAGGGAGCTGAGGTGGTCTGGGAGGCGTACCTCCCGTGTCGCGGGCAGCAACCACGGGAACATACCATGACATTTGGTATGGGAGGGCAAACTACGGGCATGTAAGGGTGATGCGCGGCTCCATGACTCTGAAGCGCAGCGATGCCTGATGAAGCGGCAGACTGGTGTTCACCTGACGAAAATAGGGAAGGGCAGAGGGAAAAGTCGCAGAACATGAACCTCGCAGACGGGCGCTTCGTGCTGAATGACAAGTCTGTTGGATGAACCATTTCAGAGCCATCCAAGGAACTGGATGATAACGTCGTAGGTGTACATATGTACGCAGCAAAATCTTCTTCTATATGTACATATATGTAGTTATTAACGTGCATTTTCTCCGGGAATGGCTCTCCAGAATATCTGTACAGATTAAATAAATACACCTGATAATTTCTATGAATAAGATTTGAATTGGAAATTCCGATTATATTGGATGTTTTGAAGCTGAATCATCACATTATAAGGTAGATTTAAACCAGAATTGTGAATCGTAGGTTTGGATAGTGTTACGGGTGCAATGAATCGAGGTAGCGAGAATTGCACTAAGGTGTCAAACGAGTACAAAATGTGAGCGAAGGCATGAGCGAACATTTATACGCGAAACATGCAAAACGGTAACGCGGTGCGTGCGAACTTGCTAGTGCTACGCTGGAGCGAGGCTCGGGCTAGTCCCGAAGCGTAGGCCGATACGGCCATGCCAGCAGTGCGAGGTTTGGCAAAACAGTGCGCGCGAAGTCGGCGAAGTTCCGTTAGCAGTAACGGGCGAACAGTCGGCTGTTGCTGTACGCGATGTAGTCGGCTCCGTAAGGAATGCCTGAGAAAATTCCTTACACTACCCCCCCCCCTTAAGAAGCCCCCTCCGCTACGCGAGTGCGTGTATATCCCGGAATCCCCGGCTTCTCAAGTACACTTGCAGGGCAGGGTGATTTTCGATGTTGCTCAGGGGCACCCAGCTATCTTCAGTTGGCGTGCGGTCTTTCCAGCGAACGAGGAATTCAATCCTCCTGATTCCCGTGGGGTGGCGGATCCGATGGCTCAAAAATTTCTCGGGCTCGATGATCGGCTCTGATGCAGGGCGAGTCATTGATTGTGGCCGGTGACGCGGCAGTTGACTCGTGGTCGGGATGTATGGGCGAAGTAGGCTGACGTGGAACGAAGGGCTGATGTACCAGTCAATTGGCAACAGTAGGTGCGCGGTGGCGGGTGTGATCATGTGACTGATTTGGAATGGTCCACAGTAGCGCGGTCGTAATTTTGGTACGTCGGGCAGTCGCAGATTTTGCGTGTCGAGTAGCACGTAATCTCCAGATTGATACGTGACGGGGCGGCGGTGGCGATCAGCGTTGCGCTTAGCGATGACGTTGGCCTTTTTTATTGCTTCGGCGGCTCTGGCGCGGGCAGCTTGCAGGATTTCGGCGAATTGTTGTGCGCGTGGCGTGGGGTTGTCCGGACTCGGCGTCATGGGCACTGTGGGGTTCTGCCCATAGTTCAGGTAGAACGGGGACTGCTGCGTCGTGGCTGATGTGGCGTTGTTGTACGCGAACTCGATCAGCGGCAGCTGCTGCTCCCAGGTCGTGGGGTCGTCGCACGTGGCACGAATCAACTGCTCCATCGTCTGATTCGTCCGCTCCGTTTGGCCGTCGGTCTCGGGGTGGTACGACGAACTGAACTGTAGCCTGGTCCCGAACTGCTCCCAGAGGTTCTTCCAGAAGTTGCTGGTAAACTTCGTGTCCCTGTCGCTGATAATTGCTGCTGGTATCCCGTGCAGGCGAACAACGGCTGCGATGAACAGGCGAGCGGTCTCTTCGGCTGAGATCGACTTTTTGCACGCAGCGAAGTGTGCCATCTTCGTCAACCTATCCACGACGACCATCACCGCGTCGTTACCCCCAGGGTTCGAAGGTAACCCTGTGACGAAGTCCATGGTTACTTGCTGCCAGGCGCGTTCGGGCGGTGGGATCGGCTGCAATTGACCCGCCTTCCGCTTCCTTGAACTCTTCATCACCTGACACGTCGGGCACGAGCCCACGTGCTGCTGTACGTCGGTCAACAGCTCCGGCCAGTAATAGTACCGCTGCAGTTGCTGTCGTGTTTTTTCTACCCCGAAATGTCCGGAGGTAATCCCGTCGTGTGCCTCCTGCAGCAGCAGCTCCCTCAGTAGTGAGTACGCGGGTACCCAAATGCGGTTGGTGCCTGTTTTTACGTAATAAACTCCTTTTGCTTCTGCCAGTTGCTGTGAATTTCCGGTCGTGAAAAATGGGTCGGTGCGGTATCCGTGGGTGAATAGGCCAGTTAAAAGCGGGTTGGTCTGGGCGAGTAGGATGGCGTGGAGTTGGGCGGTGGGGCGGGTGAGAGCGTCGGCGATGTTGGATGCTCCTTTTTTGTACGTGACGGTGTAGTGAAAATTGGACTCGAGATAGTCCAACCAGCGAATCTGTCGTGGGTTGAGATTCGGTTGGGCGCGAAGGTACTGTAGCGAGCGGTGGTCTGTCCGTACTGTCACGTCGGCACCAGTCAGGTAACATCGCCAAACTTTGAACGCGTGCACGATCGCTAGCATCTCGCGGTCGTGTATCGGGTAGTTACGTTCGGGCGGGTGTAACTTGCGGGACTCGTACGCGATTGGCTGGAGGCCATTCCCGAAATCCTGCAACAGTACTGCTCCCACAGCGATGTCACTTGCGTCGGTGACGAGCTCGAACGGACGGTGGGGATCTGCAATGTGAAGGACGGGCGGGGAGCACAAAATATTTTTGAGGGCCGAGAAGGCAGCTTGCTCTTTCTCCCCCCACGTGTACTCAACCCCCTTCCTCAGCAGGTCAGTCAACGGGGCAGTCAGTTTCGCCATGTCGGGGACGAACCGGCGCACGTAGTTGACGAACCCCAGGAAACTCTGCAACTCGGTCAAGTTGGTCGGCGCGTGCCAAGCCTGAATCGTCGCAATTTTCTTCGGGTCTATTTCCACTCCTGCAGCTGAAATAACATGTCCCAAAAACTCCAGGCGGTCCTGTAAAAACTCACACTTAGATGCTTTGGTCAGTAGGCGGTTCTCACTCAGGATTTTAAAAACTGCTTCGATGTCTTGTAAGTGCTGTGCTCTGTCAGGGCTGTAAATCAGTATGTCGTCCAGATAAACGATGACGCACTTATCTAAAAGCGGGCGGAATGCTTCGTTCATGGTCATTTGGAAAGTGGCGGGGGCGTTGGTCAGTCCGAATGGCATGACGGTGTATTCGAAGGATCCGTAGCGTGTTCGGAATGCGGTTTTAGGGCAGTCGGGTGGGTTGACGCGGATTTGGTGGTATCCTCCTCGGAGGTCGATTTTCGAGAAAACCCGGGCTGTGCGCAGTTGGTCGATCAGTTCGTCGGCTCGTGGGATGGGGTAACGGGATTTGATGGTAACCCTGTTCAGTGCCCTGTAGTCGATGCACATGCGAAAACCCCCGTCCTTTTTCGGTGTGAACAGTATTGGTGCGGCGAAAGGCGACGAACTAGGGCGAATGAATTCCTTTTCTAGCAGGTAATCGAGCTGCTTCCTTAGTTCGTCTAATTCGGGTTGGGTCAGTCGGAACTGTCGCTGTACTGTTGGCTGTGCCCCCGGTTCCAGTTCTATCCTGTGATCGTGCGGTCGCTGAGGTGGCAGTCCCGTCGGCAGGTCATCCGGGAAAATGTCACTGTACTGTTGTAACAGTGCCGCCAGGTCACTCGGTACGTCGGTCAGCAGTTTCTGTAAATCGCCTCCCTTGTCTGCTGCCTCGGCTTCCCGAATGTCAACCGCGTACACGTCGGCTCCGGCCGCAACAGCGCGTTTCATCGTGATCGCGTTGACACGCACCGACGAAGACTCAGGCGAGCCCCAGCGAGGTAAGGCGATGCTGTTACCGTTCACTCGCACGGTGCAGTCACCCGTCGTCCAGTCAATTCGCGGGTTGTGTCGTCGCAGCCAATCACGCCCGAGTAAAATGTCGGTTCCGTCGAGGGTCGTTGCGAGCATTCCCTGACTAAACGTGAAGTTACCCCCGCATCGAATCCGAACTCGGTCTACGCGTTCCCGTATTGCCAGCGGCGTGCTGTCTACCAGTCGTGCGTCGATCTCAGGTAAGCATCGGTCCAGTGGCAGTCGCAGTTTTCGTGCTGTAGCAGTGTTAATGAGGCTGTGGCTGGCTCCCCCGTCTACGAAGATTTTAACTAAGTCCGTCCCAATTTTCCCACTGAG